TCTCTGTGTCCAAGTAAAAAGAATTCTGGACAACATCCCTCTTTTTTCCACTGATCATGAAGCTGTTTCTTGGTCTAATTGTGAGGATTTTTTTTTTAACGTTCAGGTGTAATCAGTAGTGAAGGCCGTAATTTGATGTATCACATCACAAAAAGGGAATTTCACAGCTAGCTCAAGGTAATGGATACAGATTTTCCAGAATTCTAATTTTTGCTTGCCTGCTCACATCTTACCGATGGCAGCAATAGTGTCATTTGCTTCCCTTGAAGTGACAGGTTCATTTCGTTCCCCTGAGGAGATGCCTGTCAACGAGCTTGTCTGAGCAACTGGAGCGTGTCCGGCAGCCATTGGTCCGAGTGACAGCAGCCGTGGGTCCAGAGAGTACAGTAGTTCAGTGGCTGCTCCTCTGCAGAAGGGCTTCTGTTGCAACAATTACTGGGACTCAGATGAAGCATGTCAAGGTTGTGTTTATTGGTATTGTCTCGGAAGGTGTGGTAGTGAACCACGGAAGAGGTGACGTTCGGGTGCCCCCACCTGGGTGGGTGTTCAAGCCATGAGGGTTTTACGCACTCCCTTTTGTGCACCGTCTGCGTCAATCTGAACGCAAGGGAAAAGGCAAAGAATGGCTAAGTAGCCGTCCCTCCACTCCATGAAGGATCTTGGCCACTGTGGCTCCGCTAGCCGCTCTGTGGGCTAGTTGGCTCTGCCGAGTAAGCATTGCACTGCCAGCTGCAAGGTTGACAGTTGAAAAATCCACCAGCCACTCTGAGGGAGGCAGATGAGGCAGTCCACTCTAGTAAAATATGCAGCCTCCAAAACCCTATATGAGGTCACCGCGAGTGTGAACAGACGCCATGGCAGTGGATTTTTTTGGTTTGTTTTTGTGTGCCTGCTAGGCATTGGGCTATGAATTGCAAGGTTGCCTTGTGATTCAAACTCATCAGCCTCTGCTCAAGAGATGAGACTGTCTGCTCTCTTAAAAATGTAGTCTCAGAAACCCTATGGACAAAGTTTTTGGATGGAGATGTGGGAAGGCATCATGCTACATGGGTCTGCTTTTTTTTTTTTTCAAAGTTAACAAAAGGCACCTAGAATGTGAGAGAGAGAGAGAGAGAGAGAGAATCTTATCTGACACGCATGACTTGTAATCATACAGATAGCACAAATTTCTTCTTTCTAAATTTGAGTGGCTGCTTCAAAATTTCTGGCACTGGCATTTAGTAACAAAAGAATGCCTTTTTAATTCTGCTCTTGATTTTAATGCCAAACCTTCAACAGAGCTCTTAACAACCAAACCACAGGGAAAAAAACACAAACCCCCCCACCCGCACCCCAAGGCTCAGTAGTTTCCTCGAAGGTGACATCTTTTGTCCCGAAGAAGTGATTGTTCAGTAACAGGCCTTATTTCATGTCTTAAAGTGTTCTGTATGCAGCAATACCAAATGTGTGAATTCATCCATCTCATATTTTAGTTATTGAGGTAGTATTTTTTTTAACTTTAAATCGTCCAAAAAGGCATTTTATTTTAAAAGCTATTTCAAATGTACCGTATGTGCTCGAGTATAACTCGACCCAAATATTAGCCGAGGCACCTCATTTTACCACAAAAACTGCATTAAAAATATGCTGAAAAACTTGGCTTATGCACGAGCATATACCGTAATTGTTTTCACCACTTTCATTTCTTAAAAGACTTTTAATGTCATCACAAGTGATCACCTAAATCTGGGGTTGTTTTCAACCAATGTTTCGGCATCCAGTTGATTCTGACACCCAGTGACCTGACGGGGTAGACTCTTCCCTTGGCATTTCTGAGGCTGGAAATCTTTACGGAACAGAAAGCCTCATCGTTCTCCTGTGCAACCGCTGGTACATCCAGACGACTGACCTTGGGCTTAGCAGCCCAGCACGTAGCTCACCCTGCTACTAAGGCTCCTTGTTTTCAGTGCTACTTTCTTCAAATGCTTACACAGTATCGTTGTTAAGTCCCTGGAGGCTTTTCAGTCTAGTGCAGGGAGCTGTGAAGGTGACTGCAACCAGTCACTGGGCCATGGTTTCAACTCTGTTTTGAGGTTAGGGCTTTTGAGATGTTCATTGAATGATCCTCAAGAAGAGATGTGGCAGGAGAAAGACAAAACATAATGAGTTTGAAGCAAGAGGTAGTTTTTAAGAAAGGCAAAATGCGATTATCAGGTACTTAATCAGGAAGAAAAGATTGAGCTATACATGTGTGATCATGAAGGGCCAAAGGGACCAGGCTTCAAACACCAAAGGCGGGGAGAAAAATCATATCCTCGTCAATGAGGGTGGCGCGTGATGGGGACCCAATGCCCATCTCTAGACAACTGGACGTACCTTGCAGAGGGGTAGGGGGGAGGTGAGTCACTTAGGGTTCAGTATAACAATAATGAAACCCACAACCTTCCTCTAGTTCTTAAACGCTACCTCCCCCCAACTACCAGGACCCCAATTCTGCCTTGCAGATCTGGCTAGACCAGATGATGCACAGCGGTACAGATGGGAATTGGAAACGCAGAGAATCTAGGACAGATGAACCACTCAGGACCAGGGGTGACAGTGGCGATACCAGGAGGGAAGGGGGGTATAGGAAGGGGGAATTGATCACAGAGAACTACATATAACCTCCTCCTCTCTGGGGGATGGGCAACAGAGGGGTAGGTGAAGGGAGACGCTGGGCAGTGTAATATAAGATATAATAATAATTTATAAATTATCAAGGGTGCTTGGGGGAGGGGGGCAGAGGAAGGGAGGGGGAGTGGGGGGAAAGGAAAATGAGCTGATTCCGGGAACCCAAGAGGCAAGCGAATTTTGGGAATGATGAGGGCAACAAATGTATAGATGTGCTGTACACAATCGATCTATGTATTGTGATGAATTGTATGAGCCCCAATAAATTGATTTTAAAAAAAAGAGCCTGAGAGATGATCTGGAGAAAAACCCTGTCCTTGGGATTCCAGAAAGGGAAATTCAGTTACAAGATTCTTAAAATTATCAAAGAACTTAAAATGTACCGAAAAGGAAATGATAGAATCATCCCCTCATATGCTCACCACGGAAAGGTAAACCATTGTTAATGTTTTCTTCTGGTGGTTGCTTTGTTATGTGGGTGAAAGCATTTTAAACAAAATTATAGACATCCTGACCCTTGACTGCAAAATGATGGAGTGCGTAGCTCTGAAAGACAAGCACGATTAGACACTTTATGGTGATGACAGCATCTCTATCCCCCAGAGGACGGGCTCGCTGGAGGGCCTTTATTTTACAGACTGGCGTTTGCAAGGTGCAGGTCTGGCTAAATTGCTTCATGTGATGAAGGGGGCTTTTTTAAAAAAAGATCATTTTATTGGGGGCTCTTATAGCTCTTATAACAATCCATACAGCAATTGTATCAAGTATACTTGTACATATGTTGCCATCATTATTTTCTAAGCATTTACTTTGTATTGAGCCCTTGGTATCAGCTCCTCTTTTTTTCCCTCCCTTCCCTCCCACCTTCATGACCCCTTAATAAATTATAAATTATTATTATTTTCATATCTTACACTGACCGCTGTCTCCCTTCCCCCATGGTTTCTGTTGTTCGTCCCCCTGGGTGTGTGTGTGGGGGAGGGGAGGTTATGTGTCAATCATTGCGATTGGTTCCCTCTTCCTCTCCTCCTCTTCCCCACCTTCTCCCTACCCTCCTGGTATCGCTACTCCCACTCCTGTTCCTGGATTCCATGTGTCATGAACTCTTATCTCTTATCTGTACCTGTGCACATGCTCCTGTTTAGCCCACAGTGAAAGGCAGAGCTGGGGTCATGATGGTGGGGGGTGTGGAAGCCTCAAGAAACCAGAGGAATATTCTGTGTTTCATCAGTGCTATACTGCGCCCTGGTTGACTCATCCCTTCCTTGTGCCCCTTCTGTGAGGGGATGCTCCATTGTCTACAGATAGGTTTGGGGTTTCTGCGCTGACCCCTTTTATTCTCAACAATATGGTCCCTCGGTCTCAACAATATGATTTTGTTTGTTTGTTTTGGGTCTTCTGATGCCTGTTACCCGGTCCTGGCAACACCTCATGATCCCACAGGCTGGTGTGCTTCTTCCATGCGGGCTTATTGCTTCTCTGTTAGACAGTCACTTGTTTAACTTCAAACCTTTAAGACCCCAGACACTGTCTTTTGATAGTTGGGCACCATCAGCTTTCTTCGCCACATTTGTTTATGCACCCCTTTTGTCTTCAGTAATTGTGCCAGGAGGGTGATCATCACAGAATGCCAGGTTGTTTGAACAAAGTGTTCTTGCATGGAGGGCATGAGCAGAGGCCTGCAGTTTGTCCACCAACTCAGTGTATTGCCTTATAAATATATGTGCATAGGCCAGTACCTCTATTTTTACAAATTTATTTATTTGAATATGTACACACCTTTGCTTATACCTCTATCTATAGCTTTGCTTCCTAGATCTTTCCTCTGTTTCCTTTTACCGTCCTCCTAACCCCACCATCGTGCTTGCCCTTCTTTTCCCCTTAGGAATTCCTCTCAGCTGGATTGCTGTTGCTCCAACCTCGAAGGGGGCATTTTAAAATAGGAATTGTTAAGGAGCTGTGTGGGAGGAAGACCATGGAGCTGAGAGTAAGGGCTTGGAAGGTGCACGGATAGACCGAATGGACACATGTGATTAAATGTTGCTATGTGGTCTGTGATCTGTATCGCCCCACGGTGGGCTCGTTTTTACCTTGCAATGCTCATGAATACTTTAAGAACTGGATTGCTTTGTAGATGTGAAGCTGCCTTCAGGATGAATGGGGAATAAACAACAAGGCTGTCCAAATACCTCCATTAGGTTGTACGCCTCACATGGAAGGAGTTAGGAATCGAGCACTCCAGCAGTTTTGCCCAGTCAGCAACAGTATGTTCAGGACTTTGCCTTTTTCAACCCTGTAGCACTGAAGGAATGCCGTCTGTCTTAATGTATGTAATGTCTTCACATGTATAGGTCTTGGATGTGGTTTATTGTACACTGCAACAGTGACCATCACCTGCCAGTATTTTGACAGCCGTCGAGGCCTTGCACTCGGCCTGATTTCAACAGGTATTCAAATTAAGTCCCTATTCAGCTGTCCAGATAAAGTTCAAAGTTCCCAAGCCCAGAGAGATATAAGTAACTATTCTCCAGCTACCACTCAGGTAGAAAAATAATTTTTATAACTGTGCTATCAGAAGGAAATTTTATTTTTCACTGTAAATATGGGAGTAGCTTAAAAAAACCCAACAACCATAAAACCCTAAAAGATACATATCTGAAACATCTGGGGCACCAGTTGTCCAAAAATATAGGAATAGAAAAGCTTTGAGCCTAATACATTGAGAGTCAAATGTGCACGAGAGATTTGCCAAAGAAGCAGAGCGCATTTGTGTAAAGTCCTTTGGGACCAATGGAAGGGAAATGGAGCTCCGGAAGCAGCTCCCAGGAATGCCAGTTCTGCTCATCTCTTGCCTCATTGATTGTGGGACTTACAGTTTTTCTAAGTCAGAACAAGATTTTCAATTTATGATAATGTTATAGAAAGATTTAATACTATTATATAATGTTTTCATTTGAATAATATATGCTATTATCATTGCTATGTAATAATATAGAATTAAATGCATGGTGTCAATGATAGCTTATATAAACTATAATTTCCATGTGCAGTTTTGATGACTATATCTCACTGACCGACCCACCCAACCCACTGCCATCTAGTGCATGCCGACTCAGAGCGGCCCCGAGGGCAGAGAGTAACTGTACATATTTCTGGGAGCAGTCTGCTTCAGCTTGTCCTTCAAAGCAGCTTAGGGATTTGAACCCCCGTTTGCAGCCTAGCTCAGCACACGGTACCACCAGGGCTCCGTACTGACTTAAATGGGTACCCAAGTGACAGGCCGTTGCTCTTGACATTCTTTAAATGACGATGAGATGATCACTGAAGGCAAACTGTAAATATGAAAAGCCTTCTCTACTCTCTCGAAGGTGCCTTGGTAATGCAGCAGTTAAACATTCATGGAACGGTCTGCGGTCCCCGCCTGTCGGCAGCTTGGCCCGAGCCTGACTTGGCGATGTGGTCTTGTTAAGGTCACATGGGGAGGCCGTGGGGCAGTTCTACTTTGCCCGCTAAGGTTGCAATGAGTAGGCATTAACTCAATGGTGGTGTGTTTGGCTTGGTGGGGGCCCTCTTGCTAATACTTGAAAGAGGTGCTCGACTTTACAGATGATTTTTGTTTTCGCTCTTTAGGGAATTTATGGAAAATTTCCGTTCACAATTTTATGAGTTTATTTAGGAGACGCTGCTGTCAAATTTTCAAAACAATTCTAAGCCCACATAGGCTAGTTGGTCATGAGCAGATAGCCTAAGAAGTCAGGTCTTTAGATACAGACCCATCGAACAGGAGCATCCTGAGTCTGAGACAAGATCACTCCATGGTGGTGTAACGTGCCTAGGACAAGGTCTGACACGTAAATACTAAGTCCTGAGGGTTGTCTGAGTTTTTATTCTTATAATTACTAGCTTCAGTTTGTTTTAACATTTTGATATAAGGCACATATGGATATAAGCGCAAACTCATTTTAATTTGATACTATATTATGCTTGTCTTAAGAGATCCCAATGATACAAGTTAAAGATTGAATAGATCCATTTCTTTTTTTTTTCTTAAGGTTCGAGTGTCGGACTTTTTATCTATGCTGCTCTGCAAAAGTTGCTGATTGAATTCTATGGGCTGGATGGATGCTTGCTGATTGTGGGTGCTGTAGCTTTAAATATATTAGCTTGTGGCAGCCTGATGAGACCCCTCCAGGCCTCTGTTAGCCCTTTGCCTGAAAAAGCAGCTGTGGAAAATGTTCCAGAGAAATATTCCATTTACAACGAACAAGAAAAGTGCCCGGAAGAAAACATAAGCATTCTTGAGAAGAGCTGCCGCGGGGAGGAGAAGTGGAAGAGCACTTTCGCCACGGGGGACGCCCCGCAGGAGGATGCCCCCTGTAAGAACCCGGCTGCAGCGGCGCACGCGCGAGACACGGAGACCTACAGACAGAAAGTTGCCGAGCAAACGTATTTCTGCACACAGCTTGCCAAGCGGAAGTGGCAGCTGTATAGGACCTACTGCAGAGAGACAGCGGCCCTTTTTAAAAACAAGGTCTTCTCCTCACTCTTCATTGCCATCTTACTTTTCGACATAGGTGGGTTTCCACCTTCATTGCTCATGGAAGATGTAGCGCGAAGTTCAAATGTGAAAGAAGAGGATTTTATTATGCCTCTTATTTCCATAATAGGCATAATGACAGCAGTTGGTAAACTCCTTTTAGGAATATTGGCAGACTTCAAGTGGATTAATACCTTATATCTTTATGTAGTTACCTTAATCACCATGGGCCTGGCTTTGTGTGCAATTCCACTTGCCAAAAGTTATGCCACGCTAGCAATACTGTCTGCGATCCTAGGCTTTCTAACTGGCAACTGGTCCATTTTTCCATATGTGACCACCAAGACTGTGGGAATTGAGAAATTAGCCCATGCCTATGGAATATTGATGTTCTTTGCTGGACTTGGAAATAGCCTTGGACCACCAATCATTGGTAAGATACTTAGCTTCAAGTCAACCCATCTTACTGGTCTTCATGATACAGCTCCAGCTAAGAAATTCAGATTGTTCTAATAGCACCGATTTGCACAAAATAAATCTGCATGAAATGTCTTATGCTGATGATGTATTTGACAGGAGTCCTGGTGGCATACTGGCTTTCTCACTGGGCTGTTAACTGAAAGTTATCAGTTTGAACCCACCAGCCTCTCCTTGGAAGAAAGATGAGGCTTTCTACGCTGGTAAAGGCTTACAGTCTCAGGAACCCCCGGGGGCAGTTCTTCTCTGCCCTATAGGGTTGCTATGAGTTGGAATGGACTGAATAGGATGAGAATGATTTATTCAGAATTACTTTGGATACAAGCCAGAAACGTAGTGTATTCACCCCATGATTCATACTCATCCCATATTTGGGAGAAACTCAAAATGGGAGTCTCATCTTTTTTAACCCTCGTTAGGCTACAAAGATTAGGTGGGATCATACAGGAATATGTTCTAACCAAGCAATGTAAACTTGGAGAAATAATGTATGGGCTTGTTATGCATACTATTTCTGTGAAATTCACTGTTTGTTTGTTTGTTTGTTTTTTCCAGGTTGGTTTTATGATTGGACCCAGACCTATGATATCGCATTTTACTTTAGTGGCATCTGTGTTTTGCTGGGAGGCTTAATCCTGCTGCTGGCAGCCTTACCTCCCTGGGGTCCATGCAACAAGCAGCTCCCCAAGGCAGCGCCGACAACGTTCTTATACAAAGTTACCTCTAATGTTTAGAGGACTATTGCAATATTTGCTACTTTATGCCATGTAGCAAGAGCATTTTTAAGCAAATTCTTAGGCAAATTTTCCAGCGTCAAGACTGTTTACTGGGCAATATTTTGTAATGGTTGATACTAAATGAACTTTTTAAAAGACATTTTTTTACATTATTCTGTTCTCTATGTACTGTATGTGTAGCCTCTATCTCCTGTACTCCCTACCCCAAGAACCTGGGACTCTCCTGTTGTACTGTTATTCACTAGCTATTGAAAATGTTAAAAAAAACATTGTCCCTCTGTGTAACTACAGTTTCTCTGTGGACTCCATAAATTCCACTGCGAGGTGCCCAGAGGGGATGCTTCTATTTTCAAATCCATGTAATCGGCACGTGCATGACCACTAGGGACTAAACCACTCTCTTCTCTCTGGTAGGGCTAGTAAACCGAGGCCGTCCAGCCAACCAGGAAATGACAGTGGTGGCTAAAATAGCATTAAGTTTCACAGTGGAGTAAACCGATCACTAAAGGGGAAAAAACCACATAAAACTTTAAGTTGTCCGTACCGTCATGTATCATCACTTCCCGTCCGTGTTCCGTTCTGGGTCAGAGCACAGGATGTGATTTGGACGTTGTACAAGCACGGTGTGATAATCTGGTCCTGCCTTTTCTTTCATCTTTTTGACTGATCTTTGTACCTCAGCAGCGATCCTCAGCTTGTGAGAGGGAGTCCCTTTCATGTTTGCTCCTTGATCCACGTCACGAGCACTTTCTCTTCTCGGATTTAGCTCCCTTTTTTGGTGTTAGCCGTGTAGCTTGCTATGGGGCTGCTCTTTCAGGAGCTCGGAGAATTTTTCCCTTTTGGGAGGAGTGTTGTGATGCTGAGACGACTGTGCCTTACTCGACTTGCAAGCAATAACATTCACGGATTTTCCACCTTCAAGTTGTCGACTCACCTTTGTTTCACTTCCAAATCCACACTTCCCCTGGCCTCTTCCTGCAGCTACCACTAGCCCTGGTGTTGCTGCCTCTGGAAGCCACGACGCACTTTGCTGTTTGAATGAAATTTAAACAGCGAGATGCTACAACACTGAAGTGGAGCAAGAGACAAGTCACTGGATGCTACTACCTGTGGATGGAAGCGTGCGCTACTCTACGGTAAACCTTTTAGCAGGAGAGTACAGTACATCTGCCCACAGCATAGGCATTTATTCTGACTAGCAAGACAATTGTATTATTGGTTACATGAGGGCAAGTAAAAGGTTTTGCTGAAAATCCTAAGAAACCTTCATTCAAGAAAAAACTCAAAATGTTGCCGCTGTGCCTTCTCGACACACCCTCCCCCTGGGTCAGCCATGTCTGAAGGCAGCGCTTGCTTCTGGCTCATCCGGCTCCCGACACTTCTGCGCACTCCAATTTACGTGTCTTCAAAAGGCAGTCTTGCCATGCTCAAAGAACTCAAATCGTATTTCTTGGAAACGTATTTTGGATTTGGGGAACAAGAAGAAGTCCAAAGGGGGAACGTCAGGGTTGCCGGCTGGCTGGGTAAGCTTCCCAGCGGAAGCCTCGCGGACAGCCCTTGTGGCTCCCGGGCAAGGATGAGCGGCTGCATTGTTAGGATGGGAGCAGAGCCCTCCGTGCCACCTCCTGGCTCTTTTCCTCGGCACTGCATCTTTCCGTTTCCTTAAACTTCGTCGTCAGAATCCTGGCGATCATCCTCTGTCCTTTAAGAACATGTATGAAGATGACCACTTTGGAGTTCCAAAATACGGTCCCCCGAACCTTCTGAGTTAACCTTCTGCCTTGCATTTAACTGGCTTAGCAGATCCCCTCAGAAGCCATTGTCTGCCTGTATCTTTTACTCGAAGGCACCCTAACGAGGCAAGCGTGTGACTGAGAGAACTGGTCTATAGGCATCCACTGGTCACAGCAACACGTTCAAACTCATGCTGTTCGGAATAAGCCGGTGCCTATATGAAATGGACCCTAAGCAGCAATCCTCTTTTACTGACCCTCAGACGTGGACTGCTCCACCACACTGCTGGCAGCACCAACACGTTGTATAAACAAGACCTGAGATCGACCACATCTTGTTGGGTTCCATCGACCCCATTCTCCGATTGCGATTTCTGTGTTAACACCTTCAGAACCCATGGACATATGTGGCCAGACGCTGCCACACAGATGTCATTCAGTGCACGCCTATATTCTGTTCCATGTACCTTGACGAAGCATGCTGTTTGGTGCACACCACATGGCAGCTGGTTCAGTGCCCTCTCTGCGATGCAGGCCCGCTCCCATCAGGGCACCCCGGGGGTCTCCCTTCACTGCTGAGCACTGTCGCCTCCCGCAAGGAGGGCTGCTGGGGTGCTGGGCCCCACGTTGGGTTGGTACCCACAAGGTCGGCACTTTGACTCCACCAGTCACCCTGTAGGAAAACGATCAGGCTTTCTTCCCCTGGGAAAAGTCACAGCCTGAGAAACGCTAAAGGGCATTTCCACAGCTGGCCCTGCCCGTCGGGGTCACTGCGTAGGATCAACTCGATGGCAGTGAGTTTAGGGTTTTGTTTGTTTGTTTTTGAGTTTATAGCTTCACTTGGGGTCCTGGTGGCACAGCACTTGAGTGCTCAGTGGCACAAGGTCAGCAGTTCGGGAGGGAGTGGGGCAAGGTGCCTCTGTGAAAGTACCAGCCTTGGAATGGATGGAGCGCTCGCACTCTGGCCACAGCCTCGCTCTGGGTCGGTCCAGGTGATCACTATCAGGAATTGACCAGGTGGCAACAGGTTGCCACATCACAGATTTTTATGGGTCAGCATCCACTCCTTGGATGTTTTCCAACAAGTGCTAGCATTACCCTTTTCCAACTTAGAAATGAATATCTCAGCCATTCCGTCCCTGCACATGGGAAATGACCATATGCACTGGGCACAGTGGGGATGGAATCAAGTTCCTGCATCTCTTTCCTATGAAGCATTTATTACTATTATTTATTTTTTACTACCATCAACTTTTCATTCAAGGGAAGAACAAAAAGGTACATTTCTATGGGTACACATGTGCATATACACATGTGTGCATGTATGTTGTGTTCTGAGTCTTTGTGGGATATGGGAAGGGGAAAAGGAATTAAGAAATTGATACTCGGACCTGATTCCATTTCATCTTAAAAGCAGTGTCCTAGGAAGAAGTTTCAAGTTTAAAGAAATACCATTTTTCTACACAGAGATAGTTTTGTAACTTGATATACATTATACTCCTCTATGAGTCATTTCTTAAATGTAGATGACTGAATCCCACCTGAAAAGAAGTTAATTCTGTGATTTAGCTGCAGCCTCAGGGTCTACATTTTTAACAAGCTCTTCGGGTGATTCTAGTAACACAGTCCTCAGTGAGAAATGTTAGAAAATTGACAACAGAGAAAAGTTATTTCTCAAGTAAATACTTTAAAAAGACAAAACAATGAACAATTGATTAAGAGGATCTTATAAATAGACAAACATGGCTTATTTACATAGGAGACACTCTTCCGCTGTGCTAAAATTGCCTCAGTGTTTCTTTTGAAATAGGTAAGATTATTTTATACTCCTATGTTGCCTTTCTTCAACGGCACCCATCGCACTTTACAAGCATCCACCCTCACAACACCTCTGTGAGGTCGGTAGATAGCACTGTTCTGTCTGTGTCGTGAACTTGCAGTATGGAGAATTTCATAACCTGATCAAGCCTACTCAATAACGCAGTAATGGGTCTGCAAGCACCTGGGGACTTCTGCTCCATACTCAGTCTTTCTTGAATGTTTTCTGTACCTCATTCATTAGTCTCTGGAAAAAGAAAGGAAATAAAATAGTGACATTAAGAAACAACAACAGCATGTGTTTGTATTGAAGATTCCTTTTTGCCATTGCTTTGTCCAGAAATCCTGTAACCTACCAGTGTAACCTCTGGGGCATTGGCACATTCCTCAATGTTGATAATTATTCAACTGTATCTTTATCCTGTGTACTAATTCATCCAGTGTGTACATTATCTATTGTCTAGAGGATGACCTATCAAACAATCAGATGTGTTCTCCTTTGTTTTGCATCATTTGGGGTTGTTTTTTCTCCCGGTTACAGTAGCCTTTCCTTCGAACTCAAAAAAAAGAAAAAAGAATCCCTGATATTCAGTGCCTACACCAGAACTTGTCAGACCTACAACAGCAAACTCAAAAGGCAACTTGCTGAAGTATTTTCATGCAGAATCCTCTTGAGGGAAAAGAGAGACATTCCGCTAAGGTTTTGCATACCGATCCCTTGCCTAATGATCATTCAAGGAAGTCTCCATGATTCAAACCCATTGCACCATTGACCTCTCAGAGTAACCCTGAGATATGAGTCTTGTCATCCTCATTTAGAAGCAAAACCCATAAGTTCTTTATCCTGTGGACAGTACTGAGTCTCTGGGTAGTGCAAACAGCGAATGCATTCAGCTCTTAAATGAAAGATTGGAAGTTCCAGTCTACCCAGGGGTGCCTCAAGAGAAAATCCTGGCAATCTACTCCCCAAAGACCAGCCTTGAGACCCCCAAAGCAGCACAGTTCTACTCTGACACACTCGAGGTCGCCATGGTTAGGCGTTGACTGCCTGGCAATGGTGTCAAAGACTCCTGCTATCAATAAAGCGGTACCCAAAAAGGGTCCCTTCCTGGTGGCACAAATGGTGCAGCGCTCAATGGCGAACCCACACAGCGTCTGCAGGAGACTACCCCAGCGATCTGCTTCCATAGCAAGGATCGTGAAGACAACCCTATAGAGCAGTTCTACTCTGTCACGGGGGTCCCTATGGTTAGAAATCAACTTGGTGGCACCCAATAACAACCTCAGCAGAGACCTCCAAACGCAAGATGAAAGTCCTAGTGAACCTTTTGATTTCTGCCTTAAGAAACCAATGTGGGAGAAGTGCTACAAAGCCAATCATGATGTGGCTCGAGAAGTCAAGTTTACATAAACTATTGTAATGATATGACTTGCCCATTTCCCAAGAACCAGTATTTCACACACACACACACACACACTGAAATTGTACTAATGAGAATACAGTCTTTCTGTTATGATTCGAAAGATGGCATTTGAAAGGCGTTGACTGAATTTGGAATGGTGTGAAATAAGCAAGTGTGTTAGAATTCCTCTTCCATGACTTTCAACAGCTCCTTACTCTTTCGATTCTTGACCCTTCCCTTCCAGTAAGCCTCTGTAACCTAATTTCATCATAGACAAAGATTCAGCCACTAACTTTTAAAGATCCCATAAGGAACAATTCCTGTGGACCAGGAGTTACAGCACCATAAGATCACAACTGAATGGAGTTGGTCCTGTTTCAGACCAACAGACCGTTGGTCTGATAGACTGTTCTTCAGACAACCTCAATCATAAGCAATCAACTTGATGTCAGGCAACATCGAGTCGGTTCCAACTCATCGTGACTTCCTGCTCTTAAGCCATCCTCACAATTGTTCTTGTGCTTGAGCCCACTGATGCAGTCACTGGGACAATCCACCTTGGACGGGGTCCTCCTTTTTTTTCGTGCCCCTCGACTTTACCAACTAAGCATGAGATCCTTCTCCGGCATCACAGCAGCACACGAGCCACCGCAATATGACAAGCTGACAGACAAGTGAGCAATCAAGATAGGATCATCTTAACTCAGAATGTTCCAAGAAATAGGGAAAACTCAAGTCAGAGAGAAACACTGTGTTATTTTTTGTTTTACTTAAAAGGATTATTATTTTGTGACCATTCCCAGCCTGCTAACTCTGTGTAAACTCATAAAATGCACAGCCTACCCAGTGAACCTACCCTTGGGGTGTAAGAGCCATTACTACAAGACAGTGAGCAGACTATAGTCTAGAATTAACCGTTTCCCTGCTCTTTCCCTCCGGATAGCCTGTTTCCTTTGTGCCCTCTCCTCCCGGGAAAGTATCCCACTACAGCAAGTGAGTATCAGTTACAATCAGATCTTGCCCACTGATTCTGTGCGGAGGATAAATCGCAGCATACGTTTGACTCCCAAACAAAAGAACTTTGGTCAAGGAGCAAAGAGTCTGGAAACATGTCATGAGACCAACTTGAGCAACACTTGAAGCCAGGAGGCTCACAAGCCACATCCTGGCCAAGAATGGTAACATGACCTCAAAGCGTAGTCATGGTCATTCCTTGGAAAGTGGTGACATAGTCCCAATCCCATTTTAATTTCCTAGTGTACCGTATGGAATGGCAGGGAGTCGCCTTGGTGACGACTTGCTTGATCAGCCATAGCACAGCTTTCCCCTTTGACTTTCATACAGTCCCTCTCTTGATTTCTTAACTGCACTAAATAATGTGAGCCCATAATATATACAATTTACATTAACAATGCCATACAATTAATTTCTCCTCCATTAACAATCACCTTGGGACCTTTTTTGTCTAGTCTATAATAGCTGAAGGATGCCAGAAGTAAGATTTCTCTGCTTACCCGTAATCATGAAGATCAGCAGCTATACACAGATGATACTAGAAGAGGCAGTGTGCTCTGCACCCTCCTGCAGTTTATGATTCCACAGCTACACTACCAGCTCAGTTGCTCTGCTTGGGTGCCTGGCAGCAGATGATGGCCTTTTTCAAAGCCTCAGTTTCCTTAATTGTGAAACAGGCTATAGGGCGATTGAATCATTGAATTCAATTAGAATACATATATCCAGCACGTGGTAGATGTTCAATAAATATTACCTATGTTTTGTTCTTGTTATTATTTTTACAGATCTAACTTCTCAGTACCCAAGGGAGGCACGGGGTCTTTCGAGGCACATGTGTATGGCAAATGCTTGCATTCAAGAGGATGACTTCGAAAAATAATAAAAGGCCTTCTGTTATCCTTAAATTGCTTAATAGACACAGTTTTTACCTCTCTCAAAGCATGTTCTTGTCTTTTCTCCTCAGGGGTTCTTGGCTCAGCACATTTTTCTGGGATACAGTACAAAATATAACACGTGCTGTTCTTCCAGAAATCAAGTGATTCCACTTGGTCATTTGCTTTGGGACTTTGAACCTCTTGTTTTCTCCCTCTAAGAACTCTCCTCCGTTATTTGGAGGGTGAGCCTAAAATTGGACAGAAAGCAACATGCTGTTTGTTTATTGAGCTTGGCCTGGCTACTGCTCAGCAGCCGCACTTCACTGTTTTCCATTGCCTTTGAGATTTGTCTTGAGGGAGTACCCATCCTTGCCACATCTTCTGGGAGACCTGACTTCCTTATGAGCCAGTTACTTTTTTTCATTCTCTTGGCCAAAAATAAAAAAGCGAGAATCCTTTTAATTATGAAAACTTCCTCCCAGTAGTATCCTAAGCCTCTCAAAACTGGACCAATAAGCCACATTATGACACAGAGCTAAATGACTGAAGTGGTCAAAGATTTTATTTTACACGGACCCATAATCAGTGCCCACGGCAGCAGCAGTCAGGATATTAAATGACTTACTGCACCGGGCAAATGTGCCACACCAGACCTCTTTAACATGTTGGAGAGCAAGGATGGCACCGAGGTGCAGGGTGGGCCCCACACAAGCCATGGTATTTTCAATCGCTTCATATGCATGAACGTTGGACGATGAGTTAGGAAGACTGTAGAAATATTGAAGTCTTTGGGTTATGAGGTTAGTGAAAAATCTCGAGCATGCTCTGTTTTGCCAGAAGAATGAGGAGCCCTGGGGCAGAGTGGTTATGCTTTGGGCTGCAATCTGCAAGGGCAGCAGTTTGAAACCACCAGCTGCTCCATGGGAGAAAGACGAGGTTTTCCCCTCTTGCAGAGTTAAAGTCTCAGAACTCACAGGGGGCCATTCTACCCTGTCCTGTAGGCAATAAGTGAGAGTCGGAAGAACAAACAAGTCTTTTGGAAGAAGTACACCCAGAACGCTCCTTCGAAGCGAGGATGGAGAGACTTTGTCTCACCTACTTTGGACATCTTTTCTGGAGGGACCAATCCCTGGAAAGCAACATTATACTTGGTCAGTGAAAAAGAAGATTCAACAAGACAGGTGGACACAACAGGCTCAAACAGCAACAGTTAGAACGGAGTAGGCTTGAGCTGTGTTTTATTCGGATAGGGTCTCTGATTGGGTCACTGTGATTTAGAACCAATTCAATGACATCTAATAAGAACTTTCTAAATGTTTAGTAAGCAACCCGTTTCCAATAAAAGAATAATTAGCTGTGGTCCAGGAACTGTCCGGTTGGAAGTCCCCCCAAAAGGATCCAGTAGCAAAGGCATCACTATTTTCTCTTCCTAGAAATATTCCTGCTGTGCAGTGGCTAGTCCCTGTTTTATTCCAGCTCAGCTATGGAAACTCTGACATCATCTACAGCATTCACAGGACCTCCCTAAGAGTAGCCCAGAATCCCTGGAGGGATGGCTGGTTCAAGCTTGTCCACTAACAGAAGGCTTACTTGTTCGAATCCACCAAGAGGGCCCTTGAAGCCTGGTGAGGTTCCGCGCTGCTCTGCTCTTCACATGGACACCCCCAAATTGGAATAAACTCTGGCAACTGGTGGTTCTTTTTGCGAACAGTCCAATGTGTCTCAAGCTCAAAGGAAACCAGCATTTGTTAACGCCGACTCGCAGAGGGGTTGGGTTTCCAAGACTGTAACTGTTCACAGGAGTCGAAAGCCTAGTCTTTCTTCTAAGGAGCTGCTGTGGGTTTTGAACTGCCAGCCATGCAGAATGTAGCCCAACTCCTAATCACTGCACCGCCAGGGCTCTGAAATTACTCTGCAGCCTGAAAAATAAAGACGACTGAGACAATGCTAATGATAAAATTAATTATAAAGAGAAGGCTTTCAAAAGATCGATGCTAGTGAAAGAATTAAAGAGTGGGCTAGGAGATATTAAGATTTTTATAAACTTAATCTTGTATCACCATTTCGGCATGCTTTGTTCTAGTTGTTTTTTTCTTTAAGCAGTAAAATATTGAAGGAAAGAAAAGCTTGTAATTTCAGGACAGAGATCAGGCCTGCCTATTAAATTGTAACTCATCTGAAACACACTCTTTGGCGTCCCGGGCGCAAGAATGAGGAATTCTTCCCTGTGCTGTCTGTCACTGGTGGGCCCAGGCCCAGGAGGTGAGGATAGACTGACCATCAGAGCAGAAACTGCATGGAAGGAAGACCTCACGTCTACACGCCCCACCCTACGCTCAGCATCCTCGATGTTCTCTTCCCAAACCTCCCTCTGCGGTTATGGAAAAATCCTCTGTTCTGCCTAGCAAGGCAGGTAGAGGCAGCAAGTCCTCTGTCTCCTTGTGTTATTGCTCTCACAATAAAATTGCCTTTCTCGTCACCACGAGCTTGTTTCAGAGAGTTTTGGCTTAGTTTGGGTGGCAGGCAGCGGGCTACGCGTGGGGCTGCTGACTGCAGTAGCGGTTTGAAACCACTAGCTGCTGGGAGGGACAAAGAGGAGACTTTCTACTTCCTTAAAGAGGTACCGTCTCCGAAGTTTACAGGGGCGCTTCTGCTCAGCATCGCTACCAGGCAGACTTGACTTGGAGGCAGGGAGGTTTGATGGCAGGCTGGTTTCTGGTTACACTAGCATCTTATTTATATACTGCTGCTATGGGGAAAAGGAGTCCTGGTGGTATAAGGGTTACAAGTTGGGCTGTGTTCCGCATGGTCAGCAGTTTGAACCCACCAACAGTTCTGAGGGAATAAGACTGAGATTTCTACTCCTGTAAGCAGTTAGGGTCTCTGCAACCCACAGGGTGGTCACTAGGAGTCAGCACTGACTTGGCAGTGAGTTAGAGTGAGAGCTATGTGGAAGGTGGCATTCTGAGAACTTTCAGGGTAGGCTGTACTCTTGGGAGGGAAATATACCACAGGTGTAAACAAGGGCTTGTGGAGAAACCATTTTGAAGTCGATGGAAGTCCCACACTACACACAGAATCAGGGTGTCCGAACTGTGTCCCAGGCCCATTTCCAAAGCAATCACAAGCGTTGGAGATAACATTGCCAAGGAAGCCTAGCGCTTTGCCCTGGGACACAGCAGGGACCCGAAGCACAGGCTCACCAGTCTGAGCATAAGCTCGTTTTCTCAGCAAGGAAGAAGGAAAAAATCGTTACGAGATCAATTCTCTGTAGGTTTCCATGATGCTCTCAAATTCCATCAGGTGCAAGTCACCATTATTTTTTCAAAATGCATGCGTATAATCATCCATCATACCATGAAGTAGAAATATAAACATATCTACCTTTGTAAGACTAACACACTGTACATCACTGGAAGTGTGTAAGTCATGAGAACGCAGGTATACACCTTCTGAACCTAGAAGCGTGCGAAGTATGTTGTAAATGACCTTTAAGCCAAGTTGACTTTGATTTGTCATTTGATGTTAAAATAAGACATAGTTAATTTTTGTAAACTAGCCTTGAGGCGTACGTCTAAGCAGCCTCCCTAATTTCTATCCTTGAAGAAAAGATGTGATAGTCGGTTAATCTCTAGTGCTGGAGGGAAGATATACTATGTTAATCTTTGACAACACCCTGGGGAGGCCAAGGTGAGAATGTCCCGTATCGGGAAATCACACAATGTGTGGGGAATGCCCTTAGCTCTTAACTCTACTTTTCCACAAACATTTTCTGAAGCTCCCTAATGTAAATCCTGAATTTTTTCTCACTCACTGAGAGAGAGGAGAAAGAGAGACGCAGGGACCAGTCTCTATCTTAGTCTGTCAGCACGGAGACAGCTGAGAGTCTGCCTACCTCCCATGACCTTGGAGCCCAGCTAGGAGGGAGCTCCGCCAAATTTGAGCTGTGCCCAAGCCTTCTTCCTAAGACTTCTCATTAAAGATTAATGTCTTATAACAAAAGATCGGAACTCTCACCATTGGGCTGACTTTGTAAATGCCATCGTTCGTTCTGATTCTCCGGCTCTGAGTTAATGTTGTGAGGTCTTACTTTCCACGATGACCTGGCAGTAAACTAAAGGAGTTTCTACATGACAAACAGTGATTTTCAAAAATAAAATTCTACACAACATTAGGCAACCAGCAGTGCCTACCCTCAACATTTTGCAGACTTATTATTTACCCATAAACCTATAATTCACCGGGAATTTATGCTGGTGTAATTAGGGTCTTAGTGGTCCAGAAGTTAAATCACCTCAACTGCTAACCAAAAGGTCAAAGGTTCAGACCCAGCAGTCACTCGCTGGGAAAAAGTGATGGCAGTCTGCTTTGATAGAGATTACAGCCTTACAAGACCTATGGTGTAGTTCTACTCTGTTCTATAACGTTGTTTGAGTTAGCATCAACTCAATGGCAAGGAGGATTTTGTTGGCTTGTTTTTAATTAGCAAACCAGGAATACACAGTAGTTTACATCCCCCACCCCACATTACTTGTTAGATGTCCTATTGATTAAATAATTTATCTTTATAACCAGCTTATCCTGGGGGTTTCCAGCTGCTTAGACTTGTGCTTAGCAGCCCAACGCTTAACTCACCACACCAAATGGGAAACCGAATTTTCCCCAGGAGGTTCAGATGTGAAGGTTTTACTAGATGGACTGCATGCTGAGAGATGGCTGAGGCTGAGACATGCACTGAGACGAGAGTCAGTGGGAAGCCATTACCACTCTGTAGCGCGCAGTAATCAGCTAGAGGGTGGCCATAGCTAACCTCCTCTGGCTTCCCTCTTGCCAAAAAGTAGGGGTGGTCAGCCATGCCTCCACACTCCATCCTTCTTTACCTACGAGGACCCCAACTGTTCCTTCTCTACATAGCACTCTACGGCGATGCTGGGTTAGATAATCCATTACAAGGGCCACACAGAGTTCATAGACAATACCTCTAACTGCGGTGAGAGAAGAGGGGCGTATCAGGGAAGTTAATACTCATC